TTCTTTTAAAAACTTTAAATGCGACAATAAAACATTTGTATCAAGTACTATGTACAGGAAATCCTAAAATATAACAGTACTTATTAACATTAGTTATTAATAGTTATAATACTGGTTATTAATAGCTACCGAATAATCCACTTGCTGTGTCTCAACAGGAATGCCATAAAAATTCTAGAAATTAAAATAAAACAAGACACACCTCCCTCTCATTACCTTCTCGTGTTGTTTAGGACTCAATACATTAGTACTTCTATAAGAGTGGAGCTAACCAATTAATAATAATTAAATAATGACAATTGTATTAATTTCACTCGTACTTCCCCAATCAAAAGCTCCTCTTCACTGAGGTCAATGTCCATCTCTATAGATCCATCGAGTATAGCAATCTCCATATCCTCCCCCTGATCTAAAGGAAGGTACCAGGGAGAGTCCCACTGGTAAAGAGTACTAGAAACTACTTACCATATCCATCATCATATGCTGCCATCTTGAGCAGGTGAACCACGTGAGACAGACATTCTGATTGGTTAGTCCAACTTTAGACCACGCCTACAAGAATGCTAAGAGCAGTGTACTATTATTTTATTTTCAAATTCTTAGGTGGCCCAGCAGTCTAATCTAATAATAATCTAATCGTGTTAATTAATTGTGGAATTTCACTTCACCTGATGACAAGGAGTCTATACACATTATATACTTCATTAGTTAACCTGACATCACTAATAATGGCTGGCCCTATACAGTAGGAGCATCATTACTAGGTCCAGGGTCCAGTCTGCACTATATTGTCTGACATACCTTGAAATTCTTGCATCATTAACTAGCTGCCACATTACTAGACACTTTAGTAGTCTTGCTTTGGCACCAAATAATGATGTTTCTGGTCAAAGACTCCGGCTCTCTCTCTCTCTCTCTTTATCTCAATGCAATCCTCTAGCTCTTGGCATTATAGCTACAGCAGGTCAGCTGTTGTTGTGTACTGCCATTGTTGGTATTTCTGGTATTTTAATTAGATACATTCCTTCATATGATTTGATGTACTTGTATCCACTGGACTATTCTGAGCTGTTAGTACAAGTATCGTCATTCTTGATTATAATTGTACTCAATTACATGCTACAAATTATTGCTATGCTCTATCATATGTTCCTAATAATCAACAACATTTCTATCAGAAACTGAGTCAACCTGTTTACTGTTAGTTTATAAGGATAGCTATTTCTATTGCAATTTGTATCATCGCTGTTGATATCATAACGTCATTCACAGTTCATTGACAGTTTGGTATTGTGTCTAGTAGATTTCTCTATCATGTATGTTCCCGGTTACAAGGATTAGTATGTCCTTTTGTCTGTTTATTTGCTGTGTAGCAAGCTGGAGCTATCCCTTTCAATGTTTCCAGTATCAATATTGATGTTTAACCACCTCATAATCCAATTAGTATGTGTTTAGGTGTGTCAATTACCATTGGATGCTACAATACAGAACGACAGTATGTGCCTAATAGTGTTTTTGTTTAATAATTAGCCACACCTTTATTAGCCTGATTATATTTTGACTCAACTCTTAATGTACTAGTACATATAAGCTTTAAATATTCAATTGTTTATAATAAACAGTTTAAAGTCCTTCAAAGGTAGCTCAAGGTGGGTCTGTCTGACGCAGTGACCTCTGTTCCTGTACTAACGAGAGTCAGTTATAGTGTACAAATACTCTCCTGTCAAAATACAATGTGTCAAATACCTTCATTATACTAACTCTGTTGTGTGCACATGTACACATGTATCAGTGTACATTGGTTGTACTCTACCTCTAATGACGGACATACCTTTAGCTTATAGTAAATACGGTCAGGAGATGAGATTGTGAAGACATTAACAGAGAAGAGGGCAGAGGATGTACTTTAGTCACGTTGGGACTGGTTTAATTAATTGGTGTCAAATTGTTACTTATTTTAGTAACACCATCGTAGAGCTGCAATATAATACTATCAAAAAATCCATTTTTTGATTGGAATCAGCTCAAACTTTCTACACAACATAAGAACATGTATATGTATCAGAAAATGTAATAAAAATGGAGAATCCTCTCCTTTTCAATTTTAGCGAGATTTGGTAAGTTCCTGTACAGGGACTTTGACTTGATTTTGAAGCAACTTTAAAAATTCGTAAAAAATCCAAACTTGATTGGAATCAGCTTAAACTTTCTACACAGCATAAGTACATGTATATGCATCAGGAAATGATTTTATTTTGGAATTAACCTCTCCCTCTCCTACTAAATTCTCTTGTACATTCACTTAACGTGTTACTCAATGATAATGAGAAACGATTGTGTCAATGTTGTGATGCAATAGCTCCAAACTACATCAGTCCATACAATATACATGCAAATTGTACATAAAGGCATGCACTGATTACAATTTTCATTGAATTCCATCTGATGATGTGATCATTGATGCAATTTCAAAAAAATAATCTCAAGATCTGACATCACTTACTTGTAAATGGAAGGTGTGGCTTCTCTGCTTGAATGCTATAAAACAGACAGACTAACCTGGTAGCTACAGTTTATGCAAACGCAAGAAGCAGAGAGCAATTCAAAAAAGATCATCATGTTCTCGAGTATACAAGAGATAAGCAAGAGGCGGTCCAGCAGTGTGAAGCACCTCCAAAGGACAGGGAGTGCTGGATCAGTGAAGAAGTACTCAACCCTCAGCCACCAGGCACAAAGGACTACTGAAGAGAATCTCTCAGGATCTCTCTTAAGCTTCTTTGAGAAGAGGAGGGCCAGCAGTAGAGTCCCCGACAACCCGGAGGAAGCAATGGCCAGACTAGATGAACAGATCAATGCCATCAGAGGCAATCTTGTAGCATTGAGCGTGGAGAGGGAAACACTAACAGCGAGAGTATCACTGGTCCGATCAAGACTGGACTCCATCAGCTCCACAGACAGCAACAGCAGAATGGACTCAACTGATATCAATGAAGAACTAGTAGAAATAAAGGAGAAGTCTTTTTCAGAGGAGTCATTCAAGAGGGACTCAGGCTTCGTCTTTGATCCAGAATTTGAAGTAGACAGCAGAAAGATATCAATCCCAAACAACACCACAGCCCTACCTGTTCTATCAAAGAAAGCTAGGAGTACGACTGCTCTGGATTTCATAAAGAATGACCTCTACAGCAACGAAGGAAAGAAACTTAAATCAACTTCAATTGATCGATTATCGTGTTATTCAGATTCAGCAGTACTAGGACTAATGAGAACTGGTAGACACTATCACTGATACACTAATGGGACTTCATCATGCAGCACAGACCAGCACTGTTTCTATTATGTTATGTTGTTTGTACTTATAACACATTGTCACATTTATATATTTAATATGTGGTACACATTTTGTAAATAAAAATGCTATTATTATAGCAATCATAAATAATTCTAAGTTGTTTATCAAAACACACACTGCAGTGTTGGGACAGTCCAGTGCATATTCACAACAGAGCAACTTCCTGTGGGAAAACCCACTCACACATACACACACTTTGGCCTATGTTCATGTAAAAATTAAACATCCAGTGAAAGTTACACTGTCACAAGGACTACATAGTCTATAGTAGACACTAATAGCAAGGAATGAATGTTAAAACCAATCATTAGCTTCTACTATACATCATCGTCTACTAATGTCCATTTCAATACATTCCTTGATACAGCATTATGGATAAAGGAAAGAGGAAATACTACAAGTACGTATACTACAATAGACTCAATGAAGGTATAGGCCGTATAGCTGGAATATTATTGATATTATATCAACAGGTGTACACGTAATTAAAATATTTTATGCATTTCAAGTGAAATGGTCCATATAAAATGAATTAAATATGAACCATATTTACCTAGAGGCAGCTCCATAAGACTAAACACTATTACCAACTATTACCAGCGAATGGACACACACACACATCATGCAGTGCCAATGGCATCAAGTGCTCTCATTCAACTATCAAGAAGAGAAGACTAACTTCTATTGACTGAATCTCTCCCACTCTTCCTCTACTAGACCTACTCCTCCTCCCCCACACTCTTTCTCTTTCACTCTCCCCCTCAACCCACTCACCTATCTCTCTCTCTCCTACTCCATACAGTGTAGCTTCTCAGTCTTATTAATGGAATAATGTATGGTCCACTATTATCATGATCATTATAATAATGAGATATTGTTTATATGAAAACTACCTTACACATGTTTTAGTGACTGAGGCTGTATATAGTAATAACACTGTTACTTTATCAAATTATTAGTGTCAGTGTCAAAAATAAACAAATAAATACATGCACTGCTGGCAAAGTCTTCATACAAACAAAAATATTATTATAATGGACACTCTCTATAATGTACACCTCCATTTAACGGACAGCACCTAGTGTACCAACTACATTCCTTACTGTATAAAATAACCTCCACATAAAGGACACCTCTGTATAACAGACACTTTCAAAGTGTCCGGCTAGTCTGTATCTAAGTGTCTAAGTGTTAGAATGTTAAATGGTTTGATATTCTTTTAAAGATCATTGGTTATATGTTGTCTGTTACTAAGCAGATACCAAATTGACCAGAACAAAATAAAAACAGCCCAAACATACAAAGATGGCAATACTATAACCAATAGTAGTTAACCAACCTTCAACTATGGTAAACATGGCAGCAAAGAATGCAATAAAGTATCTAAAGATTGAGAGAGAGGGAGGGAGTGAGTAAAATATGTTTACAGCAAATTATATTGTTATTCTAGTCTGAGAATAAATTATGGAGGAATGTACTGTGAACAGTGAATCAATACAACAGACTAATAATGACTGGAGGAATGAACAGCTACCAATTGAACCAGCTACACGAGGCATGGGGGCAGTACAGGCAGTTATGAATAACTGAGGTAACATGGTAAGGAATATAATAGGACAACACAGACTCCACCATCTCATCACACGTTCATAAAAAATAATAAATGAAATGACACGTGAAAACTATACATGGATAATATCATGTTACATCATGTACAATCAAATACTCCTCCAACAGTTAATGGTAATAATGGATGAATGAACCACTCATTCCTGAAATTACACAGCACTACATAAACACTTCCTCCTGACACCTCATTCCACACACACACACACACACACACAGAGCTAGGATCTTTGCTTAGCCACACCCCTAACTGATCATTGTAGCCACACCCCCTGCCATATAAAAGGTGTGGCTCATTAATATTCATAATTTTAATTCATAACCATAATTTTATTTAATAACCATAATTTTTATTAATTCTAATCTAATTAGAAATTTTAAACCATTGGCTCATTTTATCACTATTCATCCCATTACATGTAACAACGGAGAACATGCAATCAATCCTTACCAAGGTCCAGTCCAGAACAGTCAGACCTACTAGAGGTGGGGGGGGTGGAAGGACATGTGTGGATTATATTGTACATGCATAAAATACATTATAAACATGCGTAATTATACATTATTAACTCTCACTCTACCTCACACTCAACCAACTTTAAACTTGATCCCTGCAGAAATAAAAAAAGAGAAAAATGTTTAAACAATAGAATAAGTAAAGATCAATGGGACAGTGCTTTATTACATGTAATGGGATGAATAGTGATAAAATGAGCCGTTTATTATTAGCACTGTAATCAAGGTTATTAATAACATGCAATAGATACATTGTTACCATACACTGAAGACTTGGACTGAATTGATGCTGAAGAAGACTGCATGCTGGCTTGAGTCTATGTAGCAATCTTAAGGAAAGGGAAATAGAATACATGTTACAGATAAGGATGTACATGTACATGATAGTGTGTGGATATCATTAACCAATAGAGAACTGTCTCTGATCGATTGATACAAGTAATGAACATTAACCTGAAAATATAAAAAGATACAAACTTAACTATCACATATTAACAATAAGATACTGACAGTAACTATACCATACACTTGATGTACTGCTTCATCTTTAGAATACTGATAATATCCTAAAAATAAACAAGAATACATTTGTTACCGAAACAACATAACTACCACATTAAGACTTAATTCAGTGTATTTATGAACCTGTAAAATAAATATAATCATATACTGGACAATACTTAAAATATCCTGAAAGAGTACATGAATATAACCTGTAAAATAGAGTAATAATACAAGAACAACACATATTTACTGTACAATAGATGAGACTTGAAATAATATACTGAGTATTGAGTAATATCCTAAAAATATACAAGAGTACACTAGAATGCATACGTAAGTACACGTACATGTATAAAGATTAGGGCAGGACTTTATTACCTACAAACATAGAGTGTACATAATAATAATACACACGTACCAATAATGAATGAATGGATCATTGAAATACTGACTGGTTGTCCTACATTAAACAATAGAGCCAGTATAATATGATATAATACACACACTACCATACAACTTAAATATCCTGGGTACTATAGTCTTCAATATGACTGTACCTATAATGAGAACAGCAACTGTTAATAGACAAACCGTTAGTGGTGATACAATGGCAGATTCTAAAAAAAGAAAAGGTTAGTTCAGTAGATATTTTCCAAAGGAGGCTGTTGGTAGGAGAGGGAGGACCGAAGGAGGGAAGGAGGGATAAAGAGAGCAGCTCTTCTTCTTCTTTTCAAATGATTAAATGGCGGGAAAATGCTGCCATGTGGTTATTTTGAGCATGCGTAGTAGGCTAAGCAGTATATCTGTACGTATGTAACCATTCCGTTTACTTTAACCACGTGATTACGCATGATCAGCATAGCCGGATATAACCATTCCGTTTACTTCAACCATGTGAATACCCGTGTCTCTATGAAATAGTGCTGCATTGTTGTCTATTGCAACTGCTAATATTTCCTCACTATAAAGTTTTTATAATAACAGGCTATGCAAAAAAATATCAGCAAATATAGTTTAAATTTTACAGAATAAAACATACCATAATTCTACTATAATATATATATCAATCACTGATCATTAAAGCAATGTACAGCCACCCTTTTTCTTTTTGGTGGTGTTTGGAGCAGCGACTACTCTAACAGTTTCATCAAAGAGTTCCTTTAATCCTTTCATTGTCAATGCTGAGCACTCCATATACTTTAGTGCCTCAATTTCCTTCTGCATTTTCAGTCCCTGGGCAGTAGATATTGGAGCCATTCTCTTTTCTTTGAGCCTCTCAACAACTTCTTTGTCCTCTCTCAAGTCAAGCTTAGTCCCAACTAGAACAATTGGGCTACTGGGGCAATGGTGGGTGACCTCTGGATGCCACTATTGTGAGTTGATGAACACTGATTATTGGAATAATGTATTTGTCATTTACCTTTGCTCTAACATTTTCAAAAGATGCTGGACTCACTAGTGAAAAACAAATCAAGAAGACGTCAGTTTGAGGGTAGGATAAAGGCCTCAGTCGATCGTAATCTTCCTGACCTGCAAAATGGCAAGTATAAATTCCCTCAAATATAAAAACTTATAGTACATGCATACCAGCAGTATCCCATAGACCAAGGTTATAGCTCATTCCATCCACTATTATATTAGCTGAGTAATTATCAAATATCGTTGGAATGTACTCTCCAGGAAAAGCATTTGTGGTGTAGCATATTAGAAGAGAAGTCTTTCCCACTGCTCCATCTCCAACCACCACACATTTAACGGCCTGCATTCTTCTATTAGCCTGCTTAGATCTGCTGCTGTAGCTTGCATCCAATTTTATGCAGTATTCTCTGTTACTAAAAATAGATGCAATGCATTCGGTGGGTGAGGCCAATCGGTTTATTGGTAGGTGTGTCTAGTGGGAGGAGTTTCTGGCACGTGAATTGAATAGATTTCTGAAAGAGGAACCATTTGTAACTCGTCTCTTTTTAGAAGAGAAGTCTCTTTGGCCTCTAAAGAGTATAAAGAAGCAGTAGGAGGTTATCAAACGGGGCTACTGTTTACTGTTGCCCTTTCCCGTTCAAAGTGATGTAGTAAGTGCAGACTCCACCCACTTTAGACTTGAAAACAAATTAAACCACAACCTCTTCTCTCCTTCATTTCAGTTACACTGCCAGTAACAGCTCTAATGCACGCAAGTCAAGTCAAGAAATGGCTAGTTCTACAGCAATTGGATCAGCACCACCTCAGCCTTCAAACCTATCAGGTAAACATGTAGCTACATGACATGTCTGTACATGTTTATGGTAATATTGAAGACCAATACAAGGACTTAGATATAACCTACATGCATGCCGTAGTACCAAAACAGTCCATATATTATCATTATTATTATTATTATTATTATTATTATTATTATTATTATTATTAATTATTTCCTGCCCCTCCCCCCTAGCCATGAGAAGAGGTGTCATGATGGCTCCTGTATTACCACTGGGCGGTACCACTGGACCCGTCAAGAAAAAGGTATTAATTAATTAATTAATAGTTATTAATTATACATGTACTTCATGATTAGTGTTTGTTTATGTTTTACTTTACCAGTTTCCTTGTACTCTATATCCTTACTCTCTCTCTCTCTCTCTCAGGAATTGGACGAGGGTTTCATGACACAAAGTTATTACAACCAGCAGTCTTCATTTCTCTCCCAACAAAGAACTGATAAAGACGTGAGTACATGAACACTTTATCTCAAATTAATATTTAATTTCCAATTCATTTTGATATTCCAATGTCAGGGCCTAACTCCTACTGGACTATATGGTAATGAACACATGTATAGCTAGTTATTAATTTGAACCTGTTCCTCCTCCCGTAGGTATGTCCACGGGTTTCCAGTCAGCCCATCCTTCATCAAGAGGACTTACCAACACTCCTCCAGTTAGTACAAACCAGACACACCCACTACCTTGTACTATAAACCATTCTTATTCATGTACAATGTATATTATTAGTATTTCATATCTCATTCCTCCCTCCAGTTCAGTCGCTCCTCTACTGCCCCTACCTATACTAACAATATGGGAGGAGGAGGGGGAGGGGCAACTCCTGGACTTCCTGGACAATATGGAGCCCCTTCTCCTCCTCCGTCAAGGAATAACCTCTTCATCAACAGTGGAGCGGTACCAGGAGGAGCACTGGGAGTCCCTCACTCCCAGGGGGTGGGGCCTCTTAAGCATGTATCAAGACCCAATACACTGGCATCTGCTATCAGCAGGTAATTTACTAATGATATACTGAGATATACTAATAGTGGTGTAATTTGCTATACTGGGGTTTACTGAGATTTATTCTTTGTTTTACTGATTTATTATTTCCTCTTCCAGTGGTCTACCTCTCAACTCTTATCCTGGCCTTGGGGGGAATGGACGGGGAGGAATGATGAGCTCCTTTAGCTCTACTGGATACAGCTCATGTAAGAACCACTAGCTAGTTATTAATATTATTAATTATTGTTAATTATTGTTGCAGTATCTGAGATGAGTGCTCAGTCTGGCTTTGATCCGTCAGAGTTCCCTGTACTGGGCATCCGTAGCCATGGAGACTCGGGACTGCTACTAGGAGGAAACAGACCAGGATATGGTAATTAATGAAATAATTAATTAATTAATAATAATTATTATTATTATTGTTGTTTCCAGCTGGTCAGATTAGTAAACCAACTGAAACATCTCAAGAGTTTCAAATGAGAGTGGAGGACTTTCCCTCGCTGCCTGGGACCTCAACAAAGACTAGTGGTGAGGGACCAAGGGGTGGGGTCAGTGGGTTTGTCATTATTTGAATTTTTAGAATCTTCTGAACTCAGTCAAGAGTCAGCATTCACTGTAAGGAGGAAATTATTATTAATATTAAGTAGTTATTTTATTTATTTATTAACTTGTAGACCTCAACATCAACCAATCCTCTACCAGGTAAATACAACATAGCTAGTTATTAATAGTTATTAATAGTTATTATATTTATTATTTTGATATAGAGAGTAGGTCTACTCTTCCTTATGATCCAGCACCAGGTGGAGGCAATAAAGAAAGGTAATTAATTAATTAATTAATTAAATATTAATTATCATTATTAATAGGTCATCCTCAATTGGTGCTATTGGCAGTAACAGTAAGAATGTTACCAGAAAGACTGCAGGTAATTAATAATAGTTTATTCATTTATTTAATATTATATGTTTTTCATTCCTCAGTTAACGTACCTCCTAATATGGTACAGGATCATTATGGGATGGTTGGGTTGTTAACGTTCATTAGGGGGGCGGAGACTGACCCTAATTTAGTGGCACTAGCACTGGGCAGGTACTACACTACTGGACTATATACACACACACACTGAACTGTAGTAATATCATACATGGTTATTATCATTACATCTACATCATGCATTTCTCTTCCTTTATTATTATTTTAGTGATTTGACTACACTGGGACTCCATCTTAACTCACCTGAGTAAGTATTATTATTATTATCTAATAATAGCAGGACATTTTGAGCAACTTTAAAAATTCATAAAAAATCCAAACTTGATCAGAATCAGCTCAAACTTTCTACGCAGTATAAGTACATGTATATGCATCAGAAAATGTAATAAAAATGGAGAATTCTTTCATTTTTGGCGAAATTTGTCCTCAGACCATGGTATTGATTGACCACTCCCCTCCTCCTATAGGAGTCTATACAGTACATTTTCATCACCTTTTGCTGACTCTCCTAGTCGCCCACAGGACATAGGTACATGTACATTGTACTCCTGTTAGTATTATATTAATACAATAGATTATCCTGTACCGCAAGAATACCTAATACACTCTTATATAAGGGACAAGGTACCATACCATTAATAATTGTGTATTTTATTATTGTTGTGTGTAGTTGGCTCCAATCCGTTTATCAAAGTACAATGAGGACCTGTTGTTTTATCTTTACTATACCAGTGGTGGGGACCTCCTGCAATTACTAGCAGCTCATGAACTGTGAGTCTGTCAGTTAGTACAGTCTCTACTACTAGTAATAATGTGACTGCTAATCCAATACTGGCTGTATAGAGCAATTGTATTTATGTACAGTATACAGTATGTGTAGTCATTTTTGAGACATTTTGTAGTTTGTTTGATTCGGGTTACTGTACATGATGATTATTAGTTAAATGTATACATGTACATGTTTCTATATTATTGTCCCACAGGTACACTAGGGACTGGCGCTATCATAAAGAAGAGAAGATATGGATCACGAGAGCTCCCAACATGAGACCAACTAAAGTTGAGACGACATATGAAGAGGGTACCTATTGTTACTTTGATCTTGGTACCTGGAGGAAGGCTCACAGAGATATGAAGGTGGAATATGACAGACTAGCTGAGAGGCCCTCCATACCTCCAGCTATAACTTCACAACAAATTGTATCTTCTGTGTCTATGAGTGCATGATACAATATTAATAATGTCATGTATAAAAGAGAGACTAAGGATCAATGCTACGTTGCGTTAGCTTTATACTTGCATTACTTACTGCAGGGAAAGAACACGTGTCAATTGCATGTTCTCTTTGAGTTTTGAGGTTACAATTAAGATGAGTAGGACTAAGACAGGAAAACATGACATTGCATCAGAACATGGATCATCATTATGATGCATAAACTGTATGTATAAATAGATACTCTAAAAATAGAATACAGCAGCTAAATGAAGTCATTTCTTGTCTTGTCAGTGACTGACTGACTGTTAGAGGAGACCAAGAATAAACTGCACTGCCTGGAGATGGAGGGATGGTTCATTGGTCGTGTTGCTTATAAAGTGGACAAGGAGATGGTCAAGTTTATACTGAGGGATACTGGCATTACCAGTCATGATTACTTGTCTGTTAAGACCCTGGACAAAGCTATTGCTGCTTATGAAGAAGGCTCAAGGTCCCGCTTATATGGAGGAATATTTACCTCAAGAGAGCAGGTGGAGAAAGCCAACGAGAATTGGGATAGACTAGAAGGTGCATTGGGTCCTCAGTTTTTGTTGTATGAAGCTATTAATCATCTACAATATCAGTGTCCTGTCAGTGAGAGAGTGAAACCGCTATCAGAGGATGAAATAACTGAATACTTAGCCACTGAAGAAGATGAACAGGAAAAAAATACCACTTTACAACTGCTGCACATTCTTAATTATTTTGTTGAATAAAATAATTAACTCAATAGACTCTCTATTCTATAGCTAATTTAGTATCATTTTTCCCATTTCATTCATTTCAATTAGATCTATGACTAGATCTACAATGTATTATTAAAAATAAATGTGAACTACAGCAGTATTAAACGCGTGGGAGTTGCCCTAGAAAAGTTCCAGCAGAAGGAATTGATAATGGAAGTTTTGTCTTTAACTGACTGCAATACAATGCTCTCTAAGCCGAGTGCTTCACCAACACTACAGGAGCTTGAAAAAATACTGGACTCAGTGACTGTCCATATTCAAGGCTCTAATACTCAAGTCAATGCAGAAGAAGTTGCTCTGATTGTCCATGCACTAAAGAAGCCAATGAAATGTCTATACAGCAAAGTTGATACACTAGAGAAAGAGTTGAAAGAGCTGCAAAGGAAATATGACGATTTGGAAGAGCTTAAACAAGCTTTGTTAGTTGGACAAATAGCCTCACATTTTGAAAGGAAGCTTCTTGAACGCATACTAGATGGTACAGATGTGTCCCCAGATTATGCCACTTTTAACGATCTCGAAGAAGCTTTGTATGGAAACTCAAGAAGAATTCGTACTGGAATGCATCTAACAGTTGAAGATAGGAATACTGCTGATGCAAACTGGGATCGCTGGGATAGGGAGCTACAATTAGACAATAAATTTTACCGTTCTCATGGTCAGTTAAAGAAATACAGGAACAATAAAGCTCACCCTAAGCTTGATCATGATATAATGCATAGCTGTCTGGCACAACTTGAAGGAAAGGATAAAATGCAGGTTGAAAAGATGATCAAAGTAATAGAAAAACTGGAAGGTGACAATTAACTTTTGAATGAAAATTATTTAGACTGTACATAGAATTTCTTTTTGGTATAAAGTGTTTTTGTAATATTTTCTACTTTATCTAAGTGGAGTATTATAGTGGAGATAGTGCATTTGTAACCAGATGTTATATATACTCTGTATAGTTTTTACAATTGCTGGGAGGCCTTTATCAGCAAATGTACTTAATGATGTATTTGCAAGTATAATTAATCTATCCATGGAACAACAATTACATTTTCCATTAAACATTACAAGTAATACTGTGTGTGTGTCTAAAATAATGTCAGTCAGTTGTTTATCTCAACACACAAACATAGTGACTAAGATCAATAGTAGTGACAGTATGATGATTGTAATCACATATCAGTTATTATTACATACTCATCCTCTCCTTTTTTGTACAATAGTTCATAGTAACATTATTTCAGATAGTGTTGTGACAAACTGAGAGTGCAGCATGTGTGACGGAAGTGTCAGATATGAATCAGCAATGGGGTTACTGTGAATTATTTTAGACCATATTCTCACCGAATGACTGTAGGCTTGGGAATGATCTGAGTAGCAAGACTAGAATTGTTACTCTTCCTAAATAAATATCTTAAATTGGTCTAAATATAATTATTTAATGCCTGGTGGTATACCTTTTCTAATTATCTAGTGTATCCATAGAAATGACATAATGAAACTCAGATATGGTGTAATATGGTCATTCCATGGTTTGCAGTGTTTAGCATAATCAGAGTACATATATACTATTGCCACACCTCTCAACAATTCAATTTAAATATTAACTAGACTAGTTGCGATTTGCATAGCTCCTCCATTTGTCTCTGGAAGAGGTATTGTGTTTTCTTTGCATTAATATTTTTCAAATTTCATGTAGGTTTTGATATTTTGATATGAATGATGATTATTCAGTGGATTATTCCTGCTGTATGCAACCCAAAGCTGGTAGCATTTAATATATTCAATATTGAGGAGAAATGCAGTTAAAGGCCAGCCCCAATATGAGAATATGAGAAAATATGAAATATCTCAGGCTAAATATGAGAGACTAAAACTCCCTCTAGATCCATCAGTGATTATAGTTATCTGTACATGATGTTTATAAGTTACATATATACCATATACTGTATACATTTGTATATTATTGTCTCACAGGTACACTAGGGACTGGCGCTATCATAAAGAAGAGAAGATATGGATCACGAGAGCTCCCAACATGAGACCAACTAAAGTTGAGACAACATATGAAGAGGGTACCTATTGTTACTTTGATCTTGGTACCTGGAGGAAGGCTCACAGAGATATGAAGGTGGAATATGACAGACTAGCTGAGAGGCCCTCCATACCTCCAGCCATAACTTCACAACAAATTGTATCTTCTGTGTCTATGAGTGCATGATACAATATTAATAATGTCATGTATAAAAGAGAGACTTAGGATTAATGCTACGTTGCGTTAGCTTTATGCTTTGCATTACTTACTGCATGGGAAGGAACACGTGTCAATTGCATGCTCTCTTTGAGTTTTGAGGTGAAAATTAGGATGAGTAGGACTAAGACAGGAAAACATGACATTGCATCAGAATGTAGATCATCATTATGATGGATAAACTGTATGTATAAATAGATACTCTAAAAATAGAATACAGCAGCTAAATGAAGTCATTTCTTGTCTTGTCAGTGACTGACTGACTGTTAGAGGAGACCAAGAGCAGACTGCACTGCCTGGAGATGGAAGGATGGTTCATTGGTCGTGTTGCATATAAAGTGGACAAGGAGATGGTCAAGTTTATACTGAGGGATACTGGCATTACCAGTCATGATTACTTGTCTGTTAAGGCCCTGGACAAAGCTATTGCTGCTTATGAAGAAGGCTCAAGGTCCCGCTTATATGGAGGAATATTTACCTCAAGAGAACAGGTGGAGAAAGCCAACGAGAATTGGGATAGACTAGAAGGTGCATTGGGTCCTCAGTTTTTGTTATATGAAGCTATTAATGAGTTACAATATCAGTGTCCTTTCAGTGAGAGAGTGAAACCGCTATCAGAGGATGAAATAACTGAATATTTAGCTACTGAAGAAGATGAACAGGAAAAAAATACTACTTTACAACTGCTGCACATTCTTAATTATTTAGTTGAATAATAACATAATGATTATTAGCTCAATGGACTCTGTATTCTATAGCTATAGTATCATTTTTTTTTTATTTCATTCATTTCAGTTATGACTATAAAATAAATGTACATTTGAACTTAAAAAAAAATAAACGCGTGGGAGTTGCCCTAGCCAAGTCATGCAAAAGTCCAGTAGAAGGAATTGATGATGGAAGTATTGCCTTTAGCTGCCTGTAATACAATGCTCACTAGTTCGAGTGGTTCACCAACACCACAGGAGCTTGAAAAAATACTGGACTCAGTGACTGTACATATTCAAGGCTCACATGCTCAAGTCAATGCAGAAGAAGTTGCTGAGATTGTCGATGCACTAAAGAAGCCCATTAAAAGTCTATTGAGCAAAGTTGGTACACTAGAGAAAGAGCAGAAAGAGCTGCAAAGGAAATATGACGATCTGCAAAGGAAATACAAAGAGCTGGAATCAGCTTTGTTAGTTGGACAAATAGCCTCACATTTTGAAAGGATACTTCTTGAACGCATACTAGATGGTACAAGTGTGTCCCCAGATTATGCCACTTTCAAAAAACTCGAAAAAGCTTTGCAGTTTGATAACTTAGGAAGAAACCGTACTGGAATGCATTTAACAGATAGAGAGAAGAAAACTGCTGGTAAAAACTGGGATGACTGGGATGATAAACTACAATTAGACGATGATCTTTACGGTTCTCATGGTCAGTTAAAGAAATACAGGAACAATAAAGCTCACCCTAAGCTTGATCATGATATAATGCATAGCTGTCTGGCACAACTTGAAGGAAAGGATAAAATGCAGGTTGAAAAGATGATCCAAGTAATAGAAAGACTGGAAGGTGACAATTAACTTTTGAATGAAAAATAATTTAGACAATAGATTTATTTCTTTTTGATGTAAAGTGTTTTTGTAATATTTTCTACTTTATCTAAGTGGAGTATTATAGTGGAGATAGTGCATTTGTAACCAGATGTTCTATATACTCTGTAGTCTGTATAGTTTTTACAATTGCAGGGAGGCCTTTATCAGTAAATGTACCTAATGATGTATTTGCAAGTATAATTATTATTTTATCTATCCATGGAACGACAATTACATTTTCCATTATACATTACATTAAAAGTAATACTGTGTGTGTGTCTAAAATAATGTCAGTTGTTTATCTCAACACACAAACATAATGTATACATGCATAGTAGTGACAGTGTGATGATTGCAATCACACATCAGTTATTATTACATACTCATCCTCTCCTTTTTTGTACAATAGTTCATAGTAACATTATTTCAGATAGTGCTGTGTTGTGACAGATTGAGAGTGTGACGGAAGTATCAGATATGAATCAGCAATGGGGTTACTATGAATTATTTTAGACCATGTTCTTACCAAATGACTGTGGGCTGGGGAATGATCTGAGTAGCAAGACTATACTGTTACTCTTCTGAAACAAATATCTTAAATTGGTCTAAATATAATTATTAACTCGTGGTATACCTTTTCCAATTTCCATAGAAATGACATGAAACTCAGACATGGTGTAATATGGTCATTCCATGGTATAATCAGGTTTAGCATAATCAGGTACATACATACTATTGCCACACCTCTCAATTCAACTTAAATACCATTAATTTTAATACTTAAAATTAATTTTGAGCAACTTTTAAAAAATTGTAAAATATCCAAACTTGATCGGAATCAGCTCAAACTTTCTACGCAATATAAGTACATGTATATGCATCAGAAAATGTAATAAAAATGGAGAATTCTCTCCTTTTCATTTTTGGCGCAATTTGTCCTGATACCATGTATTGATAGACCCCTCCCCTCCTCCTGTAGGAGTCTATACAGTACATTTTCATCACCTTTTGCTGACTCTCCTAGTCGCCCACAGGACATAGGTACATGTACATTGTACTCCTGGTAGTGTTATATTAATACAATAGATTATCCTGTACCCCAAGAATACCTAATACACTCTTATATAAGGGACAAGGTACATATATAGCATGTACATGTACATGCTATATTAATTGTGTATTTTATGTAGTTGGCTCCAATCCGTTTATTAAAGTACAATGAGGACCTGTTGTTTTATCTTTACTATACCAGTGGTGGGGACCTCCTTCAATTACTAGCAGCTCATGAACTGTGAGTCTGTCAGTTAACAGTCTCCTTTTATTACTGCTAATGCAATACTGGCTGTGTAGAGTATTTGTATATATGCATGTGTAGTCATTTTTTGAGATCAATCTAACTAATTATGAGAGACCTAAGGACACCCCTAGGCTAAATATGAGAGTCTAAAACTCCCTCTATATCTATCAGTGATTATAGTTATCTGTACATGATGTTTATTAGTTACATATATACCATATACTGTATATATTCTCTCACAGGTACACTAGGGACTGGCGCTATCATAAAGAAGAGAAGATATGGATCACGAGAGCTCCCAACATGAGACCAACTAAAGTTGAGACGACATATGAAGAGGGTACCTATTGTTACTTTGATCTTGGCACCTGGAGGAAGGCTCACAGAGATATGAAGGTGGAATATGACAGACTAGCTGAGAGGCCTCCATACCTCCAGCCATAACTTCACAACAAATTGTATCTTCTGTGTCTATGAGTGCATGATACAATATTAATAATGTCATGTATAAAAGAGAGACT